CCAACTCTTTGGGCAAATCATTTCACGGACTAGAGAATTGTGGGAGTCCTGGGAGGTGGCAAAACAACTTTTGTATATGGTTGGATTTGTTCTGTGTGACTTGAGAAAGGAGATGGTGAACATTTGGAGAGTGTGCTGGGTAACCTGAAAGAAACTCTGGGGCCTGATTATCTATATCTGGAAAATATGTCCAGTTTTCCTGCCATAGAAGAGAAAGGAAAGAAGAGAATGTTTGCTCAAAACACCGACCTTTGGACACCTGGCACCCTCTGGAACAATTGCAATCCTCTTCAGGACCTTCAGACACATGGGTCATTCCTGTGAGCAGCAGCTTTCCTGTGTGCTAATATAATCCTCACCAGAATCCCTGGTGACTGGGTTTGGGGGCTTGTCATTCAGAGGTGGTGATTTAAATTTGAGAAGCTTAAGTGTTTGACAAGGTCACATAGCCACTTTCTCATGGCAGTGAGGGACATTTTCTAGATTTCTGTTTTTAGACTTCAGTGGTGATGTTAAATACATCATATGTTGCTATGGTAGCTGATCTTTTGATTGAATCCAGAGCAACACAAAGGATAAAAAAGAAAAAAAAAATGCCTATCCTACCCAAGCTGACTTCAAGGTCATGTTCCTTGGCACCACCTTCATTGGGCATAGCACTCTTCATCTCCTGGGGGAAATTAACATAATTAATTACCCAAAGGTAAGTGTTTGATCACTGATGGTGGCCTCTTAAGCAGTGAAGTTGGGAACACACAGTTGTCATCTCAGATTAACCAGGGTCACTAGAAATGTAGCTGGAGTTTCCATAATACTCTTTGTGACTCATAGCAACCCCAGGCAATTGTCTAGATGGAACTTTGGATAGGGCTTGTATTGCTTTATAAGGATTCAGCTCATCCTTTTAAAATACTTCTTTATTTCTCTCCCATTAAGAGTCCAATGGAAACATCTGTCCCTCTTTGGGGTGGGAGTCATTTGGAGGGAGATTATCTCTCGGGGGCATTTCACATCCCAAATGAGCCTCATTCTTTTCTATGTGGCTTTTTCCTCTGTCTCAGTTTTCTGGCCTAAAGATTATAAGAATCTGTGCCCATGGAAAGGATCAGCTGTCTGCAGGAAACCTGCCGAAGCTGGCTCACAGTGTAATATAGAGTCAATTACCCACAAGGTGAAGGTGACTCTTCTAAGACATCAGGAAACAACCAATTTAAAATATAACAAATGTAAAGTGCTCTGTAACCTGGAAGTTTTAACTTCAGAGAGTCTGTTAAAATGAGAGGAGATTATATGCTGATAATAGTAGGACAAGTACTAACAGATGTAATCTACAAAAGAAACACGAAACAGGATTTCCCAGGCCTGCTTGGTCTTAATCCTCACTTCACAGTGCCCCTGCTCCTTACAGCCAGGGCCAGACACTTTACCAGGTCTTTGGGGGTGGAATCTGACCTTGGCCTCTAGACCTGACCTGGACATAGGCAGGAAGCAGTTGAGGCTTTTTTGTCTGAAGGCACATCACAAATTGATTTTGTTGTCCACATAGCCATGAGGGACACAATAGCACCGTTGTCAAGGTAGCACAGTAATGTAGGTTTTAGGCCCTGTGTCTGGTTCAAATACTGACTTTTTCTCTCACTAAACCTGTGATCTTTGGCATCTCATTTAGCAGCTGATTTAGCCTTGGTTTCCTCATCTATAAAATGGGTATAGTAGTTATTGTTAGATTGAAATGAGCTAATCTACATAAATCACATGGTAAAGTTCTGCATTTAGTAAATACTATTTTTTTTTTTACTCTTCCTCATCCTTATCATTGTAGGCATCAGTGTTCCTTGCTTGTACCATAATTCTGTCTCAGTAACCCATGGCTACCTCTGGGCCTGGTGAGCCTTGGATTTCTCTTGCCAGGTCCCTCTCCTTCCTAGGAAGTAGTATCAGCTTTCAATTTGCAGTTTGCCTAGTATCATGTTAGGACTCTTCTTGGGGTCACATATAGAATGTGATGATCTGCCAGGATACCTTCTCATCTCCAGTGCCAGCTGCTTGCTGGACACTACAGTCAACCTACTGGACTTGGCAGACTCTAGTCACTGTGACTGACTTTGCTGCCTCAGCACCTGACCTTCCACTTTGAGTCTGGTGCCACGTTAAGTGTTCCTGTCTCAGGAGGTAACAGGGCCATGCTCAGATATAAAGAACTTGTTGGAAACCAGGGTGCAGGATATCTCGAATGACCCATCACAGGTAACTGGTTGCCTTGGCAGATGCACTTGGATGGAAGTAAGAAGCCCCAGGCCTTAGTGTGGTGTTAAGACACATCTCAAGATGATAAACTGCAAGCTCATGCAGAACTGGTTAAGGGCCAATGTATTTGGAGGATCTCAATACTGATAAATTGTCATATTTATTGCTTAAATACTTATCTATTACAAAAATTAGATATATGAATAGACTAAAAATTATGAAAACTTCTATAACCCTACCTTCCAGAGAGAGCTACTTTTAAACTATGTATACAGACACATACATGTGTGTATATGGGGGATACATATAACCAATTATTTTAATACTTTTCATTTAAATGTTAAATGTTATGAAACATATATTTATGTTGTCAAATGCTGAACAATTCTAGATGATTCTGAAGGTTCACCAGTTTGTGGTCTAGCTTCTAAGAAGTATATTGCTCATGGAGAGAAATGGGGTAAGCAGACCACTGAATGTCCTTGTAGTCTACAGCTTCCAATATTGGTCAGTGCCACCAGGTTAATTAAGGGTGGCTTCTGGTCAAAGCCTGGATGTGGAGCAGCTTGGCTCTACATAGTTATTTGAGAAATGGGACATGTAGCCCACTCAGCCTTCTCTGTTCCTGTTGTGAAAGCTACAGGCCAGCAACTGGTCTCCCATTTCTGGTTATGGTCAGGGTGGGCGGTCAACCCTCTGGGCTCTGCCTCTTGTCACTCTGGGACCTAAGTGAGGCAAGCCTCAGTGTCCTCATCCATAAATTAAAGAGGCTGGGTTTGATTCTCTTCTGCTCTTACATTCTAATTTGAGTTAACTAGTTGGGGAGACAGGGTGTGGGTGTGGCTTTTAATCACTCCTGCGCAGCCTGGTGCCAGGCTGGCTGCACCAGAACCACCAGAGGAATTGCAACCATATATCCCTGGGCCCTCTTCCCACCCTCCAACTGGGATAGGGCTGGAGAATTTGTATTTTTAACAAAACTCTTAGTGATTCTCTCTCAAAGTCAGCTTCAGATGTGGCTGCAGGGCCAGTGCCTTCTCCTCGCTGCCCAACTGATCACATCCTAGTTGAACTTAGCTCTGGCAAAAGATCGTGGAAAACATCCTAACCCAAAGCTCTTCCTGGGACAGCTGGTGCTGCAGGAGGCCTACATGGGTGCAGAGTCAGGGCCGCCAGCAGGTGGGCTCCAAGCCCCTGGAGATGGGCTGCCTGGCCTGTCAGCGTCTCACAGGTTGTCAGAGCTCAGCCCACCCTGCCTGTCCACCCTGTATAAACTTGATAATGTCCTTTTCCCCACCAGTTGTCATCATATGCTGCTTCACATGGCTTCTTGCTCCATATGGTTTGGCTCATGCTGCATCAGGGTTCTGACCACTCCGGGGTTGGTGCCTGCAGCCTCCTTCCACTGTCCCCTACCAAGCAAGGGATGTTCACCCTCCTACCAGGTCTCATTCCTCCCTCTGAACCTTCATCTTCCAGGAAACCTGGTGTTTCTAATGCATATTTTTTTAAATAAATCTTTGAGGAATTTGACCTATTGCTTTAGCAGTTTGTTCTAGAGGTTTCCTATACATGGTGCTTTTTAATGGTTAAGGGGTTAGGACCCTTTCCCTTTCCTTCTGATAAAATGCACACCACATGTTTTAAAAAGCAAAAGGTGTGGCAATATATTAAAAAGGTAAATCATATTTGATCTATCCACAAGTCAAATTAGAGTTTCTTATTTTGCTACTTTATTTTGCACATTTATTTTATGTCATGCTCTGCTCCATGTACCATTTATGAATTAGAAAGAAATAAGCCAGGAGGAGCTGCATGTTTTCTCAGAGTACTCTCAGAGTGTCAGATTCACCTGGATAAACTTGATAATGTACAGATTTCTGGACCTTGTCCCAGACTTACTGATGGGGATCTTGTGGGGAGGGACCCAGGAGTCTGCATTTCCAACAAGATCTCTGGGTGATTCTTTTGCATACTAAATTTCTAGAACTCCTGCTTCAGAGATGGACAGAGTTAGAAAAGATGGGGAAGATAATGAGAGAGAGATGGTGGGCACCAGACTGCTTGGATTTGAATCCAGGCTCTGTCTCGCACTGGCTATGTGACTCCTCTGTGCCTCAGTTTGCTTATCCATGAAAAATCTATGAGGCTAGGATATTTACCTCATTGGTGATTGTGAGGATTAAATTAATTAATATGTATGACATGTTTAAAGTAATGCCTGGCGCATGGTAAGGGTTCTGGATGTGTTTGCTGTGGATATTATTCTTTGCAAGGGGAAGGGCATGCACAAACAGATGGAAACGGATGGCCTCTGTGAGGGAGGGGAGCAGACCCATCTGTCGGGATCAGAGGGTTTGAGTCAGTGGGTTTCAAATTACAATGTTCAAAAAACTTAGCCCAAGGAGCTTGTGAAAGATTCAAGTGTCCCTACAAAGATTCTGAGTTAGCAGACTTTGTGAGAAGCCTGGGGATCTGCATTTAATTAAATGATAATGATGATGATGATGATGATGATGATGATGATGATGATTGCAGTGCTAGCGGGTAAAACCCAGCACTTGCATCCTAAGCAAGTGCTCTACCACCGAGCTATACCCCCAGCCCTAAAATTTTTGATGCAAATGATCAGTGAAACTTCAGAAACTTGGTTTAAGTAGAAGACTGGTATTTGAAGTTGCAGGGTATCCTGGGATTTGACTGGGGCTCTGGAAATTATGGACACTAACCACATATTTTGTTTGCTTTTTTAGGTATGTCCAGAAAGTAGTAGAAGTATCCGGGAGGTACAGTGTGCATCCTACAACAACAAGCCATTCATGGGCCGGTTTTATGAATGGGAACCATTTGCGGAAGGTAAGAACAGAGCCAGCCCTGTCTGCAGAATTATTTTTGTCTGTTCCCCAACCCTGTGGCTTTCTGGTTGATGCTGGAGGCATGGTGGTGATCCTGGCTGGAATGTCAGTGGAGGAGAAAGTGTGACTCCAGGGCAGAGGGGTCTGCAGGGGTCTTTGCCAGTGGTGGTGTAGATCAGATGACATCTGGGCCATTCTCACCAGTGGGGCCTTGATGTAAACAAGCACCCAAGCAAGTAGGGCAGAACATTGTTTGAAGAATCAGTTGGAACAGAAGGTTCAGACCCGATGTGGTAGTGATCAACGGTGGAGTTTCTTTTTACTTTGGTACCTGCTACAAGGACTGGTGTGGGAGCTTTGGAGTCTGTAGGTTGTAGAGTTGACAGTTGTGTGGTTTTCTCATGAGGGGGCGGTTCCCATGCTCTTTTCAAAGATAACAGCAGATTAGGCAGGCATTGTCCTTGGGACCAAGATTGTTGCCCTTTTGAAATGACAGAAGATCTGAAGTTGGTAGCACTGGTCAACCTGGCTTGCCCACTGCTGTCGTTTTTCTTTATTAAAACTCAGATGATAATACAGCATTTGGACTGAAAAGTGTTGAGTTCTGAGGCATTTTTTATCATTATAGAAAAAATAAGCTCAGAAGTGGTACTGGGTTGGCAAAGCTGCTGGGGCTTCTATACTGACAGCCCAGTTGGCTAAGAGGTGAGTCCAGTTGCCATCAGGGCCCAGCTGAAGGGCTTTGGTGGACAGTGCTTCTCAGCCTCAGCCCAAGGCAGTAGCCAGGCATCTGGAGCTGGCCAAAATCCAGAGTATGGGGCCCTGTCAGCTGTGTCCAGGATCTGGAGAAAATGTTTTTGGAGAGGGTTTGATAGTGAGATGTGCTGACTGTTTTGTAGAATCAATGCCCAGGAAGGCCAAACTATGGAAGGTAGAACTTCAGTAGAAGCCCTTGGGGATGGGGAAGGGAGATCCATATCTGACTGCTCTGAAATTGGGTGCAAAATTTTTATAGTCTGGGCATTTTTCTCGGAGGAGAATCTGTATATTCTATTAAATTCTGAGTGGGCCCTTGACCTCAATATAATTAAGAACAAGCTTGACTTAAAAAATTGGGACTATCAGATTCAAGTAAGAAAGATGTACAGATGAAAACTAGAGCCAGCTAAGTGCAAATACAAGGGTGGGTGGGAGGTTAGAGGGTGAGCAAGGAAGAGAAGCCTAAAGGGATAGTTTTGATTCTGTGCATAGATCTTGGTTTGGACCTTTTTCATTCGTAATAGTATTATGCTAAGTTCAAGGTGATATCCCCCTTGGGATCCCAGAATAGATAAAGGACATTATTGGAAAACTGACAAAATACACATTATGTGTGTGGTTTAAGTCAATAGTATTAAACCAGTGCTAATGTCTTAATTTTTATATATGTACTATAGTTTTATAAGATTGGAGGAAGCTTGGAGAAAGTAGTACAGGAACTGTCTGTACTATCTTTGCAACTCTTCTATAAATCAGAAATTATTTCAAAAAACATTTTAGAAAAGGCTTCATACTCGCTATTAGCTAGGTCTCACATGTGTTCTGGTAAAGACAAAGTCTAAGACAGTGTGGGCGGGGAAGAGTATCTCCCCAAATTCTCCTTCCTGGAATCTTGGAATGTGCCCTTCTTTGAAAATATGGTCATCACAGTTATAATTAGCTAAGGTGAGTTCTCATTGGAGCAGGGTGGGCTCTTATTCTAGAATGACGGGCATTGTCGTAAGGAGAGGAGAAAGGCCATAGACATACAGGGGCACCCAAAGTGATGATGAAGGCAGAGTTTTCCACAAACCAAGGAACACCAAAGAGTCCCAGCAACTTCTGGGTGCTAGGATGGCCCTTGCGCACTCTTGCTTCTGGATATTCAGTCTCTAGAATCATGAGGATAAATTTCTGCTGTTTTCAGCCTCCACTTTGGTAATATTTTATCATGGCAACTCTAGAAAACTAAAACAAAGAGAAGGAGCTAGGTTGTGGATTGACTGAGGTGTACCCATGGAAGTAGCTCAGGAAGCTGTTTGATCTGACAAGGGACAGGAGATGCCTTAGAAAAGTGAGGCACACATCCAAAGTGAGTGACCACCTTGTGGCTCTAGGTCTACCCAAAGCAGTGGTTCTCAGCCCTGGTTGCTCATTAGAATAACTGAGGGACCCACAGTGCATCTAAGCTGCCCTAACACAAAATATCCCCAGGGTTATGAATTAAAACTGAGAAATCAGTATTCTAGAAATACTGATTTCTGGGCTGTACCCCCAGAGACTGTGATTTAATTGGTCTGGGGTGCAGGCTGGACATCAGGATTTTTTAAGGATCGAATGTGATTCTAATGAGTACCTGGAGTGAGAACCTCTACTCCAAGAGGAAACAGGATCCCAGAGAGGTGGTGATGACAGACTAGACTGAGGGACAGAGTCATGGATGTTTTGTAAACCATAATCTTTATCCTCATGTCGGAACAACACTACTTGCTGGTGAACGTTTGGAGTAGTGAACTGTCTTTTATCTGAGCCTCATCCTTGTTTTATGGCTGCTTTCCTGTAACTAACTGGGGTGGGGGGATGAATTTCCCCAGCACAACACACTGCTCAGGGCATAGTGACATGCCATCAGGGCCCAGGGGTTGAAGCTGCATTGCTGGACTTCCTCTGCATGGTTGGGGTGGCCGTCATCCAGCTGCCATTCCCCAAGACCTCAACATCCTGTCAGACTTCAAGACCTGGTAGACTGAGGTCCAATATTGGTAGCTCTGTGAAGGCTACAAAGAAAAACACCGTTCCAACTATTCCCTGCAGAGGTCTGCTATTGTCTGGGTTAGGTGTGATTCTGTTCTTTTTCCCACCTGATTTGGCTGGGTTTTAAGGATAATCCATGAGAGGGATTATTTATTGAACATGTGATTTAGCTTATTCTTTTTTGTGTGTGGAAAATTTCCAACATAGGTAAAAATAGAGAGAATTGTATAATGGTTTAATAATGCCCTCCTATATGCTCCTCACTTCATCTCAACAGTTTTCAACTCATGACTAATCTGTTTTATAATAATCCCACCCAGATTATGGAAGACTATTTGAATTCATACTATACAGCATTATTCATTTCTGGATGTATCAACTAGATCTCTTGATTGTAGGTGACAGAAAACTAAATGAAATACATTTAAACAAGAAGGGTATTTTGTTGGTCATGCTACTGGGAATTCCCAGAGTGGACTGGGATTCTGATTTGGCTGCAATCCAGGGAGTGAGTCAAAAGCATCAGGACCCTGCCTTTTCATCTTTCACTATCTCTTGGTTCTGCCTACTTCTCTCTTAAACACACGAGCAGGCTTGCATGGTTTTGAGCTTGCAATCATAGTGAGGGAGATTGTTTTTTTTAACCTGGTGCTTTGGGTTGAGTCGTATCAAATGCTATCTTAAAGTCTTAGCCTGTGAATGTGACCTTCTGTGGAAACAGATAGAATTAAGATGTTAGATAGGAAGAGGTCTCATTGGAATAGAGTAGGCTCTAATCCGTGAGGAGAGAAGACACATAGACACACAGAGAGAATACCATGTGAACACACATGGAGGGAGACAGCCACCAGATTATGGAGGAAGAGATGGTAGTGATGCTGCTGTAAGCCAGAGAATACCCAAGATTGCTGACAACCACTGGAAACCAGGAAGAGACAAGGAAAGTCTTCTCCCAGAGACTTTAGAATGAGCGTGACCCTGGCAACACCTTGATTTCAAATTCTGGCCTGTAGAACTATGAAAGAATAAATTTTTATTGCTAGCTAGTTTGTGAGATACATAACTACAGTGTTAGAAAAATTATACCCAGGGACAATTTCAATCTCAGGAAAACTATGGCCACCACCTGACTCAGGTCATGTGACCAGCCTTGTCACAGGGACCCACAATCAAATAAAGTGAAGATGGGCAAGTGGAGTTCGGGGTAGACTGAAAAACAGATTCTGTTAACAAAAATTAGTATGTGTTTCTTGACCATAAGTCACTGAGAATTTTAATGAACTAATTAGAATTCTGGTCTATTACCAAGTACAAGGAAATTCAGAATAATTGTAGATTAATCACCCATCTTCTACAATGTAGTTACTAGGAAAATTAGCAATCTTTAAAATAGTCACGGAGATCCATATCTCTCACTTGCCTAGAAGGAGCCTATGGTCACTGGAGCTGCATTTACTTTGGCTTCATTGAAATAATTCTAGGATTGTTTTTTTGACATAATTCTTCTTCCTCTTAAATGACTCCCAGGCTGATCAGTGGGAGGAAGACAGCGCTCATGTTTCTATGGGGTGAACATGCTTTGCGGCTGGGTTTTGCATTGGCCTCTTGGTTTTGTTTGGAGCCTGTTGCTGCTTGCATGTGCCCACTTAGGGAAACAGCTGCACTCGTTCAGTCCAGTGCCACATAGGACGGTAAAAGCAGAGCTCAAGCTCTGAGAAACACATTAATTCCACCAGATGTTTCTTCTTAGGCTTTTAATCACATTTCCTGGATATGGCAACCTATCCTTAGATAATGCCTCTAAGAATTTTTCTCATAGCCCTCGACCCAATGTTGTAAGAGAATGGAGGAGAACCAGGGTGCATCCTTGATTTCCTAGGGGAGTGATTGGGGGCTTAGTCCTGTCATCCCAGCTTTCTTTTACTTTCGAAACTGGCTTGGACAATGAATTGTGTGGTCAACACCAGCTAGAATGAAATAGTTTAATAGGAAGATTCTCATTACTTGCTGGCATTGGAGAAAATTATACAGTAGTCTCCCCTAATTCATGGAGGATGCATCCCAAGACCCCTGGTTGGACACCTGAAATAGAGGATAGCACCAACCCCTATATATGCTATGTTTTTTCCTGTGTATACATACCTATGATAAAGTTTAGTTTATAAATTAGACACAGTAGATTAACAAGGATAATAAAATAGAACAAGAGAGAGAGAGAGAGAGAGAGAG